CGCCCCGATCCCAGAAGGATCTTCGAAAGTGGTTGGGCTTGGCCAACTACCTTCACAAGTACAGCGCTGGGTACGCGGGCTTCGCTAAGCCCTTGTCGAGCCTCCTTCAGAAGGACGTCGACTGGCGCTGGGAACAAGAGCACCAGGATGCTTTTGACAGCATCAAGGCCAGTCTCCAAGAGGCCCCTGTCCTGGCTCTGCCGGACGAGACGAAGCCGTTTAGCGTCGTCTGCGATGCCTCCGATTACGCCATCGGGTGTGCATTGCTGCAGGACGACACGGCTGGACAAGAGCGAGTCATCTCGTTCCAGTCCCGGCAGCTCAAAGCCGCCGAGCGGAACTACCCTGTCCATGACAAGGAGCTCCTGGCAATGAAATATGCCCTTGTGAAGCTCCGTGTTCACCTTCTGGGCTCTAGGCCCTTTGTGATCTACACAGACCACGCGTCCTTGAGGACGGCGACTAACTCGCCTCACCTCTCCCAAAGGATGGCGAGGTGGCTGTCCTTCTTTGCGGAATACAACTTCCGCGTCGAATACAAGCCGGGCAAGCTCAACGTGCTTGCGGACGCCCTCTCTCGGCGTCCTGACTATGAGTTGGCCCACATCACGCGGGCGACAACGGATCTATATGATCGGATACGCATGGCGTATCGGGACGATGAGGCTGTCGCGCCTATCGTCAAGTTCCTTAAGGCCGAAACGAGCGCGAAGTCCGACTGGATCTCGTCGCGACAGCGCTCACGGCTCCACCGATATGAGTTGAAGGAGGGCCTCCTCTATTACCGGGTGGAGCCCACTGATCCTCCACGGGTGGTCGTACCCAACGACGAGGATCTGAAGTTCGACATCCTGGCGGAGGCGCATGACGCGCCCTCCAGCGGCCACTTGGGCCGCGAGAAGACCTTTCTGTCGGTCACTCAGTCCTTCTGGTGGACCCACATGTACAAGTGGGTCGCCCGGTACGTCAAGACATGTGAAACATGTCAGCGGGTCAAACCCGCAGGGCACTCTTCGGCTCCACTACAGAGCCTGCCCGTACCGGCTGATTGTTGGAAGTCGATGAGTCTTGACTTCATCTTTGGGCTTCCCGCCGACGGACACGGCAACACCGGAATTTTGGTGTTCGTGTGTCGGCTGAGCAAGATGGTACATCTTGCTCCAGTTCCCGTCACTGTGACGGGCGAACAAACCGCAAGGTTGTTCGTCGATGGCGTGTTCCGCTATCACGGTCTCCCGGAGACGATTGTCTCGGACCGAGACCCGCGGTTCACTGCTGCGTTTTGGAAAACGCTGTTCCCTTTACTGGGAACTCGTCTGCAGATGTCCACTGCGGATCATCCGCAGACCGACGGCCAAACAGAGCGCGTCAATCGAGTGCTCGAGGACACTCTGCGCAGTGTGTGCGCGGCAGCACCACGTACGTGGTCGACGCAGCTTCCAGTTGTTGAGTTTGCGCTCAACAACGCGGTGCACGCGTTCACGGGTTTCACGCCGTTCTTCTTGAACGGCTTCCGCCACCCCAGAGTGCCTCTCACTCTTCGAGGAGACACTGACTCCTCTATTCTAAGTGGGGGAGAGGCTCGGAAAGCCCTTTCCTCCCAGGTCTCGGATGTGAGACCAGTTTCGCTGCGGAAACAGGTGGAATCCTTTATGGATACCAAGCTGAACATAGTCAGCAGGGTCCGCGATGCCATGGCAGCGGCCCAAGATAAACAAAAGGAGTACTCAGACAAACAAGGAAGAGGAAACTTAAGTATATTTGAGGTTGGTGACTTAGTGTTGCTAGACACGAGGAACCTATCTCTAGACACTGTTAGCTCTGTCGGCAGCAACAAACTGAAGCACCGCTTCATCGGGCCTTTTGCAGTCCTGGCCAGACATGGTGCGTCGTACACCATCGACCTTCCAAAGTCAATGACGACGCACCCGACGTTCTATGTCGGACGTCTTAAGCGGTACTTTGACCCGCAGGGGTTGCTGACTCGCAGACCCCCCTTGACCCAGCTCCTCGAAGCGAGGGCCGGTCACAGTCGTCGACGTGGGCGTCGGAGAAGGCACCCAAGCCTCGGTCGGGACGGCAAGGCTGCGGTCAAGACCGTACGCCGGAGGGGTTCCATACGAACGGACCCCGGCGCCATACGCCGAGTACGCTGAGTACGCCGGGTACGCACCATACGCGTACGTCTGGGAGTGTGCCGCAGGCGGCTCCGGACGTGGCAACAAAGCCTCGATCCGTCGGATCATGCGAAAGGTCTCGTCCAGATCGGACGAAGAGGCCCGGCGATCCACCCGCAGGTGCAGGCTCGCGACCTCTCGCTCCACCAGGTTCAGGCGGCCCGCAAGACGAGCGAGCTCGCCCTGATTCCCGGCCTGGGCGGCAGCATTACCGCCAGTCCCAAGGCCAAGTGCAATCTCAAGCACGAGGACACGTTGACGGAGGCGGTCAACCTCAGGGTCCCGTGTCGGACCCGCAGTCGGAGCACTCGGACGAGAGTGGCTCTCGGGAGGCGCCGAGTACTCGTACTCGTACGAGGGCACCTCCGCCCCTGCTTGACCGAAATGGAGAAGTCCACTTCCACGTGAAGCGGATCCTCCAGGAGCAACGGCGTCGCGGTAAGCGACAGCTCCTCGTGAAGTGGAGGGGTTATGCCCACTCCGAGAACTCGTGGGAGCCGATTGAACGGCTCCTGATTGACTGCCCGAAGGCTGTCGCAATCTGGGAACAGAAGCGGCGGCAGCTTCATAAGTAGTCCGGGGCTTCTTGCTTGAACGGGGTACGGTCGATGAATACATACCGTACCCGCGCTCATCGTGAGCGCTAGAAGCCGCGCACTTCAGGATGTCCCTTGGCAGCATACGCTTGCTGATCAAGTGGGCAAACCTCACACGAAGATCACGCTGGTCCAGGATGTGGGACAGCTGCTGATCTTCATGGAGTTCCCGTACCTCCGTGGGTGAGTACTTGAGAGTCTCCACCCACGACCAGAACATGTCCTCACAAGAACTCCACGTGGGACAGATCTCGGGCATAACCCAGGGGTACCCCCAAACAGGATAGAGACCACCCCGGGTCTCGGGCTTCTTACGACAAGTCGTGAAGTCCTTTAGGGGAATGCGGTGTGGCGCGAGAAGCACACACCGAGCAGCCTCCAAGTTGTCGACGAACAACTGCTCTTTCTGAACAAGGGCTCGTGCATAGATGCCCCTAGAAGTGTGGCCGCCCACAAGGCCACGAGGAGCGACGAAAAGCTCTAAGAAGAGGTCAGCCCCAGAGCTCTCCTCAAGAGGCCAATACCCTCTTGAGTTGATGGCAGCTCCCTGGCTGACGGGTGCCGCCACCGAACCCCCACGCACACGCTGGGCAGCTTGGAAATCCTCCTGCTGCTGGTCGAGCTCATTCGAGACCTCCCGGGGCTCAACGATAGCACCCTCCTCTTCCTCTTCTTCCTCCTTCTCCTCCTCTTCATCCGAGGAGTCGAAGATACTCCGATAGGAGCGACGAGTCTCCTTCTCCTCGCGGAGTGGAGACTTAGAGGCAGTACGCTTCTTTGAGGGCTTGGCGCCTTCGGCTTTGGAGGCCTTAGCACGCGCAAGACCCTCGGCAAGCGAGAGACGTTTGCGAGGATTCCCTTCCTCATCGCCACCGGCTTTGGGAGCGTCCTTAGCCTTGACGGCCGGACTCTCAGAGCGCACAGAGGTCCTAGGACTGTGATCGCCTTGATCACTAGCGGGCGATTGCACGCTGTCATCTTTGTGTTCACTGGGCACTGGGTTGTGCCCTCCCACAGAGCCCGCAGGAGCATCATGAGTGCTCCCAGACTCGGCATCGTCCTCACTGTCCGAGTTGAACTCACGTTCTACGAACGAGGGCTCGGACGATTGTCTGAAGATGAGGGCGACGGGCTGCGACGCTTGCTTGCGCGCTTGTCCACATCCGCGTCACCCGAGGAACCGATCGCCTCGGAGGCCACCTGAGCAGCCTCCTTAAGTGCAGAGCCTTTGCCGTGAGGCTTAGTGCTCTTGGCCTGCGCCTTACCGGCTGCAGCCTTGGAGCGTGTCTTAGCACCGCTCTTAGCAGTGCCACGAGGCATGTTAACGGTCGAAGTGGAGACCTAGACGAAGAGCACACAGGTTGCTGCTCGAGGCTCTAACTGTGAAGTGAGCCTCCGCCGCGCTCACGCGGCCAAGTCGATGGTTTTCGACTTTGAGAATGAGAGTTTGTGACGAGCACCTCTTCATTCTAAGTGGGGGAGGATGAAACGGGGTACGTAGCCCTAAGTATACCCTGGTTACATGAAGTGTGACACTTCACACTTCAGGAGTATGACACGTCATACTCCGAGATATGTGGTACAAGGTACCAAGGTCGTTCAAAGCCAACCATTGGTTAAATGACATTGCATTTCTATAGGTAACTAACAGTTTGTATTAAACCCAAACTTAACCTACCTATAAATATACTCAGTTTACAATCTACCTTATTTAGGTCACTTCGCTCTCTTTAATTAAAGAGGGGACCTGTAAACTGCCGTTCACTGAGAGTTTGTATACTCTCGGAAGATAACTTCCTCTAGCGCAAGGTGCTGTGTGACCCCGTCACAGTTTAATTGACCAAAAAAATGGTCAGATCAAACAATTCGGTTTATTCATGTTTTTCGAGAAAAACTCGACGTTGAGTGTGTGCGGTCAAGCGGCAACCCATCCCAAAGTGTATGTTAAGCTGTATTGCTGAGCTTCAATATCCCCTGAAGCTGCAACCCCCCCCCGTTTAAATTGGATCTTCAAGCGTCATGACATCTTCGCGCGCGCGGGTCGAACCTCAAAAACCGCGCCTAAACTACCTCTCATATTCGAATCTGCCTGGAAGGCGGGAGGAGAGAGAGCTCGAAGTTTGCTCTACGTTATATCCATTTTGTGTGTGCACGTTCAAATTGCTATGGTACAATCTTTTGCTGGGATCTTGTTCTTACATGCCGTCGATGCAGCGCCAGCTTCGTGATGACACGCGCAAGTCGAAAACGTAAGCGCGCCCTGGAGACGCCGGCCGTATTGGCGGACTTAGGAACCTCGCCCAGCGGTCAAGACCATCTCCTACGAAAAAGGAACGACCCCATCGTGAGCCCGCACGATCTGGACGTTCCGGGTGTGTTCGCCACTGGTACGATGGAGACGACGATGTTTTCGTTGCCTGATACTTCCGATGGAGACTCGATCCAGTATGCTCCTGACGCCGTGTCTGGGTCGTCTCGTATAGTGCCGATGGATCGAGCTATCACATCTCTTTCTGACGTCGTGTCGGCATGGTCGGACACCTCTTCCGTGGCTTCTACACTAGACCTGAGACTCCACGGGTCTGACTCGGAGGAGTCCTCCGTAGGCCAGGCATCGTCGTCTCCTTCCAGACTACGTCTTCAACCGACGCGTAAAGCAAAGAAGAACGGAAGGCTCGACCAAAGCGCCGACTCCGACTTCTCTATCTCGCAAGCTTCTTTGGCGTTCGACGTGGTGCCGGGGTCCACGAGGCACCACTCAGGGCATGACTCGGATTCGACTCTTTCTTCGACATGTAGCTCGCCGGGGTTTGAGGTCATTGAGACCAAAGGTCATTCGAAAGGACCAAAACGTTGGGAACCAGCAACTTGGCCTGAACATGTGGAGCGTCTCCACAGCCACATCACACCAGCCTACTTCAAATATGCCTCCGTGTCAGCAGGTGGGATGTGTCACTGCCGGGAGCTTTGCAATGTTTCGACCTGCCAAAATGCGAAGTACAATCGCTTTTGCTACCGTGGAAATTGCTCTTACGCGGGTTTGTGTGGAAATGCCTTAAGAGAAAGTAAGCGCATTGCCATTTGCAAAAGCTCTTTCCGAGGTGGCCTCGGTCTTGTTGCTACTCGCGCTATCCCAAAGGACACAATTATTGGGGAATATTTTGGCATGATCGAGGTTTTTGGACCTCCGTGTGCAAATGGATACCGAAACAACGGCTACATGCTTCATCTGAAGACACCTGCTCAATCTGGACAGCGTTACGGCATTGACGCCAGAGAGGCGGGTAGTCTCTTCAGGCAGGCCAATCACGCCTGTAATCCCTGTGCTCGCTTCCACGAGGTTCAAACGGGTCGACATTTGACGGTGGCGGTCGCCACCGTCAGAGATGTGTTCCCAGGAGATGAAATCACGGTAGCGTATGGGAACGCGTTGTGGCTTATTTGCCGTTGCGGATGAGACGGATGCCAGCACAGAGATATCCAGCACCTGCACGATCTGTAGTCAGCTGCGCATGTCATGAGGTACTCCAACTTGGAGACGTTGAAAAGATTCGTATGTGAATACGGCCCACTTTTTTTCGAGCGTTTGACTCCTCGAGGTTAAATCTTCGTGTCTTTTTCTTGCGAGGTTAAATTATGCGGCTCGAAGGATTTGCTCTTCATTCTCCGATCTTCTATCAAGAGCCGAAGCAACAACTCACGGATTATGACGGTATGCAAAAACAGTTCCCATCGCTGTGAGTCTGATCACTACTGATATCGTGTTTTCGACCAGAGAGGTCGAAGAACTGGCTACGCGAATTACTCCGTGCGAGAGCAGCTTTTACTGTGTGCAATTGCAGAGAAGATTGTTCCTACCGGAAGGAACGAGTGGGAGCGTCTGACGATCCGGTATAACTCCCGCCGAGGCAGGAGTTCACTTGAGAGAGACTTGGATTCTCTACGTCGAAAATTCAAAAATCTGTATAACAAGCCAAAACCATCGGGCAACGGAGAGGTGAAACCTGCGCACAAGGCAATAATGTGGGCCAAAAAAATTCAGATGACCATCGAAGAAAAAGCCGGGACGCATACATCCTTCGACGGCGTCGAGACTGAAGAAGACGAGGAGAAAGAGAATCAAAGCCAGATCAATCGACCTGCGTCTAGCGGCGGGGCCCCATTGCCTCACTTGCATGTAGCTAACGGGTGCCGCGAGGGACACACGTCTGTCTCGCAAGAACGCGATCCTGTCGATATATTTAATTAAATTAATGTTGTAGCTCTCCAGCCAGTAAAGAGAAGAATGTTGTCTCGCAGCTTGCCCAATGTTCCCAACAATCTCAGTCTCCGATTCCGGAAGCACAGTACTCTGGCATTGCTATAACTAGTTCCGGAACGTTTGATGCTTCCCTTGCTGCGGCTCTCGGCCTCTCCGACTCGGACGAGGACGAAGAAGAGAGAGAAGAAGAACCTTGCGCCAACGATGTGGATGGCGATAACGTCGGTGACTTTCAAACGAGTATAGACAATCCGGCCGCTGGTGTTGACCAATACTGTCGTACTAGCTATGGAGAGTTGTCACCGAATCCCGACGCAAACACCACATTTCGGCCTCAAGGGGTCACTGAAGAAGTCCCACAGAGAAGTGCGGGTCGTCCGCCGAAGCCGACGCCTACCACGCCACCTATTACTTCTCCGGACGGAGCAGTGTTGTTTCGTGACCCAGGGCGTGCTGTAGCCGACGCTCGCGAGAAAGCTCGCAACCCCCGTCTCTCCAGTGTCAGCAATCGACTCGGAGGCCAAGATCTTACAGCTGTGAGAGACAACATCGAAGAGCTGAGTAAGCGCTTTAACAGAGTGAACGAGTTGGGATTCGAGACCTTCACCTAAGCGAAACGCACAAAGACCGCGAAGCGTATCGAAAACCTTGGAAAGCAGATTACCGGGTTAGAGGAGGCACACGGATCCGATAACAACGACATGACGCGCCTTTTGATATTTTACCGTGCAGAGAGCGACCGAAAAGCCGAAACAGCGGAGCTACGGCGCCATGAAGAGAAAGCTCAGAGAGACGCTGTCGAAAAGAGGGAAAAGGAAGAAAGAGAGCGCGCGAGGCAGGATGAGAGTGATCGCCTTCGAGAAGAGAGAGCAGATCGACTTGCACGAGAAGAGAAGTGGAAGGCCGAGAAGGAGGAAAACCGTCGCCAATTCGAGGCGCGAATGGAGCTCGAACGCTCTGAGGCCCGAGAGCGACATTCCGAAATGATGATGATGCTCGCAAAGCTTATCAAGAAGTAAGTATACGCAGTGGTGCAACTGCTATCATGAAGTCATTCGGCCATGATATCATTAGTGTTGAGCTGCATAGTGCAAAATATTGTGACGTATAATGAGCGAGCGAGCGATGCATGTTTCACACACGTTATTAATAATCTTCTCGACCGTGGACGTGTGTAGTACGAATCTGACTGATACCGACGGTGCGAACTCTGTAGTTAGATAATCTGAACAAATTGTCTAGACGAACGGCGCGCTCTACCTTTCCAGAAGGAAGAGGTAAATACAGTCGATGGTACACTTTGGCGACGGAGCCCATACCCCACTCCGCCGCCTGCCGTACAAACGTTATAGCGCGTGACAACTATCTCGCGACAGGACGAACGGATGGTAGCAGCTTCTGGAGATCCCCTTCCTTTAAGGGAGTAATGATTTTCCCTGTCATTCTTCCTCCACAAGGAAAAGCACTGTCCGCTACGACTCCATAGCGGGGGTCGGGACAGAAGTGGGGGTCAGCAAGACACTCCTGAAACGCGAGGCTCATATCGCCGTCGTTCCAGCTCCCCGGGATGTTGTGGTTTGCCCATACAATGAGCCCGTCCGCGAAAAAGCAGAGCGTCCCTGTCACGAAGACCCCGTGTAGCCACCCGTTGTAGTGCGCGTTTTGAACGTCAGGGTTGGACGGCTGCAAAACCTAGAATATGACAGCGCAGAGATAAAGTATTAACAGACTTAACTTAAACATTCGAGTATTTAGATACCCACACGGAAATTCTTGCCATCGATGAAGCCCCAACAATACTGCAGCAAAGGTTGGCGCTGGGCCACCATCTCGGCACATGCTCTTTGACGAGCAAGAGAAGGCCACGATATACGAGCTGGCGAGAATCCGACGAGAGCCCGAGCCAGCGCTCTCTCAGCATCCTTGATAATACGACTAAGCGTTGAGGGAGGAACCCCAAAAATCATACAGAGAGCATTATTCTGCATGGTCCCACGTAGAACGCAAGCAGCAAGCCAATGACTTGATGGAGCTCCTGCAATTTCCGTGGACGCCCCCCCTTTGGGTATTGCTTCGGGATAATATAGAACAGGGAAAACCTAATCCATAAGGAACTTGAAAGATTGTCTGTGCCGAATAGTTAAGCACAACAAACAAAAACAACGAAGTGATAGCGATTAGCGCAAGAGATCGTTTCTTCTGGAATCAGACGTACCGACTAAGACTTGTCATGTTTATCATAATCAGGTCGTTTCCATGCAGCCACAAGTTCATCCAAGACGACCAAATAGGTATCATTAGACACCCGACCCGTCAAATAGTGACGGACCCGAAGAAGTCTTTGGCGCTCAGCACGCAGGTACTCCAGATGGAGGCGCCGACGGAGATCACGAATCGCCCGTGACAGACGTATTCTCGTGCTTACAGCTGCCACCAGCAGCAGCCACTCAGCGTCCCCCGCCATGATCTCTCCGCTCGCTCGATGAAATGGGGCTTTGGTAGAGTCTCAGATGAACGTCACTGAAGTCACGCGATCTTTCGTGCCTTCACATCTTTACATCTAGACAAAATATTTAGAAAATTGTCCAGTTACTACATGTCCCACGTATTAAAGTATATATAAATGTAAGCTATGCGCACCATAGGTGCGTTTCATATTGAACGCATTAAACTTTTGAAAGTGGTTTTGGAGGTCGAGTTTCTGTTTACTTGACGAAAACAAAACCTACCCGCAGAATTAAACTTGCGTAAAAATGGGGGGGGTGATCAAAACTTTTATGTGGGTTTTGGAAGGCGCCCACTGTATAAAATGATACCGGGGAAGGAATCGCAAATCCTGAAAGTCACCAGCACCGGCGGCAACATTATCACCAAAGTAGCGCCCTGCATGATCAAGGGAACACCTACACGGCTCTGAGTATAGCTAGTTAGGTCATGCTCAAGCCAACCTCTGAAGCGCTTACACATAAAAGCACTATCACGGATTCATCAAACTCCGTTACGGATAAACTGCATCACCCCTCTTTTACACCCTAGCCCTGTTTGGTGTCTTTATCCCTCAGATCCAAAGTTTTAGCAAAAGAACCTTTAATAATTGTTAATAATTTAATTCTGAGCCGTTATTAAAAGTTTGAGAGGTGCTATCATTAAGTTAGAAATTTTCTACTTGTCAGTCTTTTTTCTGCTAAATATCTTCCGAATTAAGAATGCAGAGCCTCTCCCAAGGTACCTTCGTCACGACGTCAATCGAACGTATGGGGACGAAACTGTTGCGAAGTTTCTCTTCGACGTTAAGCAAGTCACCAGTCTGACGTCAATATTACAAGCTGCACAGTTTACCAAGTGGTTAAATGAGGGAGTAGCGACCAATGCGGCATTGGCAATGCCTTCAGTTTGCTCCGCCTAGTTCATCTAACGGCGTACACGGATAATAGGCAAAGTAATTTGTGGTGATGTGGCCGAGCGAGCGCAATTCTATGGATACGCGTCTGCCTGTATTAACTCGACGATATTATCTCTTCTTTTTTAAGAAAGTTCTCCTCATAATTTGGCATCGCTTTACTCGTTTTCCATTTATTTTAGTCTTGGAGACGATTCGTAAAGAAAGTCTAGTTAACTTTAGAAATATAATCGAAACTGGAAATAGAGATGGCACAATCGGAACGCCAGCTCTTTTAATGCCAAAGCTGCTCCGTTGGTGCTAGAGGAAAGGCAATCACCGCGATTGCTCCCACGTTAGAGACAACGGATACCATCACCGCTCGGGCTGCTTCTCGCACGACATTTTGGCGACGGCTAGAAGCTAAATGGAACCGAGTTCAAGTCGGTCGCCAGGGATCGTACTCTATCGAGCGTCTCATGAGCTTGGAGAATTACTGTAACACGACATCGTGGACTCGAGTGATTTTGGTCTGTATAATGACGCCAGCTCCTGCTCTTTCAGGACAGAACATGCCAAACACATGTATTTACTGTTTCAGCACACAGCAAATCATTTGACTTGACTTCTGTATACTTTTGACCTTCTGAGTGTCGCAATAAGACATAATCGACGATTAGAGGTCACAGCAGAAAAGGGACCAGCCGCGCTTCGCTTGGCTGGGCGCCCCTTCGGCGCCCCCGCGGTTCGCTGCGCTCGCAATATGGAGATAGAATGTGCTACTTGAATGTCTTCCGTTAAGGCCACCTTCCGAAGGGTGGGCTGCAAACTGGGTGTTCTGGCTTCACTTGGCGTTGACGCATGCGGTGGTAGGGATGAATGTATTCTCACAGCTGACGGTGTTTGTTCCGGGCCTCCAGTTCACGTTTTGCAAGCAGTTGATCGTAACTACGGCGGGGGCTATTGGACTGGTCGGCACGTGTATTCTTGTAGGAGACTCTATCGGGTTTCCTGTGCCCCTCACGATGCAGTTTAGAACTATTCCGACAGGGATAGCTACGTCAATAACGCTGCGACTGGTCCTAAGACCCGACATCTTTAAAAGAGGGTCTCCTATAATGATTCATGTAAAGCGGTTTGTTCGCGCTATTCTTGCGTTCATGACCCTCATCGGCGTATACCCTCTCTTCAAGGTGCTCTACGACATTGTTCCTGTTGGTTATCGAGGCGCCGTGGTTCTCGTCTTACCGATCTGGAGATTCGCTGCGAAACACTTTATCGTGTATGCAATTCGGGACCTGGAAGACATAATACCAAAATCGGTGGCATCTTTGGTAGATTTCTTTAGTTCGCTCTTTGTATCGGTGTGCATGTCAGCCTCAGGACCATTGTACCTGTCCTTCTTGTTCATCGCAAGCGATGTAGGGCAAATATTATTGGAGATGCGTGAACTGAGTGATAACGCCAAAGCGGTGCTACAGATTATTCGACAACAGACGGATGAGTCTACGCACAGGAGACGACAAAGTTGCTAGTAATAATTCTCGAAGCGATTGAA